AAGGAGAGCATCACAGCTTATTCTCAGCTCTACCATGACTACACAACCATGCAAGTTGGTATGCATGATATCATCCGTAGCTTCCGTCAAACCATGAATCAGTTCAGCAGTGAACCTGGCCGATACAGGTAATCATTATTACAGCTAGTGAATTTCTCTCTAATATTTGTCGCCCTCTTGCTAGCAATAAAATGTTTTCTTAATAACATATACCATAAAAAGTTTTCTTCCTTAAATGCAAATAGCAGTGCATAGGCTATGCTATCTCCTCCCAATGTGTGAAGGGAAGGAAATGAATTGGTCTCGGTAACTCTGTGGTATCTACGGACTGTACAAGAATGGGCGACCATGCAGCTCACAGAGACACTGTAATTAATCAGCCCTGTGGCTGATTTATTGTATAGTATTAATAGCGCAGTTCATGTCAGACTCGCAGTCAGAGATTGTTAAAATGACAGAATGATTGAGTTTGGAAGGGACCTCTGGAGGCTATCTGGTCCAGCCCCCCTGCTCATCAGGGCCACCTAGAGCCAGTTGCACAGGAATTTGTCCAGATGGCTTTTGAACATCTGCAAGAATGGAGACTCCACAACTTCCCTGGGAAATCCGTGCCGGGGCTCGGTCACCCTCACAGTGAAAAAGTGTTTCCTCAGTTTGTGCCCATTGCGTCTGGTCCTGGCACTGGGCACCATTGAAAAGAACCTGGCTCCATCGCCCTTGCACCCTCCCTTCATGTATTTACATACATTGATGAGACCCCCCTGAGACTTTTGTTCTCCAGGCTGAACAGTCCCAGCTCTCTCACCCTCTCCTCATAGGAGAGATGCTCCAGTCCCTTAATGGTCTTAGGGGCTCTTTGCTGGACTTTCTCCAGTATGTCCATGTTTCTTTTGCACTGAGGAGCCCAGAACTGGACACCACACTCCAGGTGTAGCCTCACCAGTGCTGAGTAAAGGAGAAGGATCACCTCCCTCAACCTGCTGGGAACAGTCCTCTTAATGCAGCCCAGGATACCATTAGCCACCTTTGCTGCAAGGGCACATCACTGGGTCATGTTCAAATTGGGGTGACCCCAGGTCCTTTTCTGTAAAGGAAAGTATGGAAATTGCTGGAATGGAGTCTGTGGATATGGATTCAGAAAGGCAAGACTTCAGTCAGATACTTGCAGCCTTGCATTGACTCTTGTAGATTTTTCTTCAGAAATTTCCAAGAAATATATCTTCTTGTCTCCTTGTCTGCTTTACAGAATGTTGTTTCTCTCTATTAATCTTTTTTGATGGGGAGGCAAGAAGCAAATGTAATTCTTAAGGCTGTGTTATTTTATACGTATGTCCAACACCATTCCTAGCTTCCTTCTGCTCTGTGCAAACCAAGAATGAGCCAAAAAAGGTATTTGTGCACTTCTTTGTAGATTTATGGGTTCTGATGGTGATGAAAAGGAAGACATTGAGGCAACAATGATGTATTATGGAGCAACTTTTATCCAAGAAGCAGATTTTCCCTTCAATTTCAACCTAATTAACATGAAAAATCTATCAGGCAACAGTATTTTTGAAGCTGTCAACTTGTGGATGAAAAACATGCCTGCAGGAAAATGGCCAAACTGGGCGGTAAGAATCCTAGACCAACACTTACAGGAAGGGCCTGTTCTATAGGTGATAGAAACCTATAGGTGGTAGTTCCCCTAACAGTGATAGGACCGTCCCCTCTCCGCACACATGTTGATTTCAGTGGGATCAGCAGCAGCCTGAGCCCATGGCTGAGCTGTAGTAGATGTACATTCACATGTACCCCTGTGAAACTCTCAGCTGCTGTAGTCGGAGTCATTGGCATTGGCCAGCTGGCTGTCCTGCCCTTCGATAACAGTTACACTCCCTGTGCAAGGGTGACAGAAGGGAATTTATGATCATGCCTCTCCCTTGGTGTCTAATGTAGTGTGGGGCATTGGCTTAAACCACCAGTGAGGATGGGATTGGTACAATTATCTTTGGCTGTAAACTGACTCAGTGCAATAATGGATTCTGGAGACAACCTGGGGCCAGGGAACAACACAGCAGGAAGCTGAGGGCAGTTAACATAAAACCTTGCTGATCTTTGCTAGGCAGCATGTTTGGGATATGCAAGAGGTCTTTTCAAAACAAGCACCACCTTCACACAGTGGAGAAAACGACAGAAATCTTGAGGGAACTGTAATTGTGGAAAGTTGTTAATTGTCATCTCTCCTCACTTCTGCCTCGTGTGCTGCTGGCAGGGCTTCTGTGTACTAAATTATTTGGGGCAGAAGTTTGTACTGGCACCAAGATAAAAAAGATAATTGCCCTCACAGGCCTGGAGGGGGAAGAAAAAAAAAACCTACTACCTTGTTAAATTAGTTAACTAATTTCACATATGCATGGAATTTTATAATGTGTTTAACCGAATGATGTTTTCTTCAGGTTGGAAGCCCTAACACTGCTCGGATTTCATCTCGGATTGGGAAGGAGTACATCAATGTTATGAACATGCTGCTTTTAACCCTCCCTGGTACTCCTGTAACTTACTATGGTGAAGAAATAGGCATGGAGAACACTGCATCAGAAAATGTAAGAGCGGATAAACTCTGATCCTGTTGTTGTTTAGTTCTGAGTAACAGATGTTTCAAAAATACTAGAACTTTTGTTTTGTTAACCAAATGCAGTCTTTCTCACCATTTAGCTGGTTTTCTGTGTTCCCCATGGCAAAATCATTGGACAGCACATGGAAATGGCCAGGCCAGAGACGAGAACCAAGGCCTTCCTGTGTGTTTGAACTGCTAGACTGCAATCATGGTCCCTGATTTCTGTCCTCTGCCAGATCAGTCTTGCGTGGTTTGCAGTGGTGTTGCTTTGCTTCGCTTCAGCAGAAAGGGCAGCAAGTGCCAAGACCGAGCCTGGGCTAGTGGTTGGGAGAGGTGTGTTGCAGTCATCGAAGGCAAGAGGAATTGAGTCTCTGTCCTTCCTCCCACAGAAGTACCCTAGTCACTATGTCAAAGTCCATTATTTCCTGGCTGCTATTTAAAGGACATCAGAGTTCATGAGAGACCGTAGCTACAGTCACCATCTCCTGCGGACTGCTTTGCTCTGACTGTGCAAAGGCACCTGCCTAAGCCACAGCCCTCTACAATGTGCCCAAGCTCTGAAGAAAGGATCTCCAGAAAGGGGTGGGAGCGCAGACCAGCCCCTGCTTAGCATTGCCTGGTGGCAAGCAGAAGTGGCTTCTGCTTGTCACAGGGGTTTTTGATTTGTCTTTCAGATCCCTTTCTCTAAAGGATTTAGGTACCTGAGCCTGGGAACCAGGTGGCTAGCTCACTTGATCATAGTAACACATGACAGGATGTTTGTTAGTTTACAGAAATTTTCAGAAGTTTATTCAAGGTCAAGGGATTAAAACAAAGTCTCTGTGCCTTTCACACTGTGCTGACCTGCATAACTTAAAAGCTTTCACATTCAGCCCCTGTAATTTCTTGTCTCTTCTATGATCATACCTGACTTCTGTTGTGTCTCATTGCCTGAGATGCATGGGCATGACTGGAAAAAGTCATGCCCAAAAGGAACAGCTCAGCTCTGCCTCTCCTGACCATATTTGTGCACCATGAGAACATGGTCCTATGGCAAATGCTCTAGAAAGCCTCTGGTAGGGTATGAGACAGACTCCAATGATGTTAGCAACACTGTTGGCTAGCTTTGTATCAAAGGGAAAGAGGTACTTCAAGAAGCACGGGATCATCGCCAGGTTTGTCTGATTCAGATGTGAGGAAATGATTCTCTGGTTTAAAAGGAAATCTCATTTTCTCTGAGAAACACCTAGGTCAAAATATCTCCTGCATTTTTTTACTGCTGCTGATTACTGCTGACAGAATGATACTCTCCAGAGAAGTGGCTTGCCCTTGACTCCTTGGGGTTTACTCTTTTTCAGTGGCTACCCTGTGGCTCACAGCTTTGTAACAATGCAAAACCACTCTTCACTCAATCTGGAGAGGAAGATTCCCTGATTAATGAGTGTCTTAGAAAGATGGAGAGTATTTGCTCAGGGTATAGTTTTAGCCCCAGCATTTGAAACACTTCAGGAGAAGCTTGAAGAGGTAAAGATGAAAGGGAGCATTACCAGTGTTGAAAACTTAGGATTTTTTTTTTCCCCCTGCTTTTCAGAACATGCTAAAAGGAGAAACCCGTTATTTGTAATGTCACAAAGCAAAGTGACAATTTCTTTTGTTGAGCTGCTGTTCTGACAGATTGTATTGAAAAGTGGCCTTTATATGAAAAATAGTTTTCATGGAAAACAAACACTCCAAGTATGTGCAAAATATTTTATGCCCTCTTATATCATTAAGTTTAAGTGTCAGATCTTTTGGAAGCTCTTCAATAACAATGAGGAAGCTTTATCAGAATCTTTCTGGATTCTTCAAAATGAGAACTTCAGACTTTTTACATTGACACTTTTTAATCAGCTAAAAGCTGGTTTTCAATAGTTTTTGCACTTGGAAATAATTTTATCTTTCTAACACAAACAATCCTGTCCAAATTGTACCCATTGCAAATGTAAGCTTGAAGAGTTCTAAGGTGAAAAGTGTGATGGTTACAAAAGAACAGACACTGAAAAGCATTTACTCGTTGTTTACTGTTATTTTAACAGCATCTCTTCTTAGGAGTCATATATTCACTCACTGCACATCTAGATATATATCAGAATATCCCAGGTGTCATTAGTAAACTTTTATCCAAGCATCTGTTGCAAGGGGAGACAATTCTACTGGAGTCATTTGGGAATTTCGCATTTTACCCAGTGATGCTGTATCCATGAGACCATCCATTCTCCATTTCAGGAACTGTCTTGATTCTTATTTTCTCTTTAGATTTGGAGCAGGATTACATCCTCCTTATTAAATTTCAACTTAAACCAAAGAAAGCAATACTGAAATGGCAATCATTTGAAAGATGTGAGAACATGCTATTTAAGGGATAACTTTTTTATTATACTAATTGCCACTTTATTTTCTAGGTTACCTTTCCAGAGAAATCCCCCATGCAGTGGAATGGCAAAGTTAATGCTGGTTTTACTGAAGGCAACAGTAGCTGGTTACCTGTTAACTCTGACTACCAAAGTGTAAATGTTGAAGTAGGTACCTATGTGTGACAAACTAATAGTCTAAAAATATTGTAATGTATCTATTTTTCTCTGACTTCTTTTACTTAGTGGGAATTGGCAGTAAGAACAAACTCAAGGGAAAAAAAAGCACTGAATCCTCACAATTCTCAGAACAGGAAATCTTTGCACCAGCAAGGAGCCTACTTCATCTATATTAATTTAAGCAGAGCAACTGCAATTATGATGCAAATGTGGCAATTTGGCTCTTTAACATCCTTTTAATCATTTTAATATGAAATTGAAATCTGGTCCTTTTTTTTTTTTCTTTTCATTTCTATGACTATAGAAAGCACTGGTCTTGTTACAAGAACTTAACATAGACCATCTCTAATGTAAGTAGAGCAGTGATTCAAACAGATTTTGCTGATCTACAGTGCTGACCAGAATTGAAGACAGAAAAAAATAAGACAGAAAAAATATAAAACATGAAACAAACCCTGTGACTTTAGTAGATTAGACTCAATGAAAAAAATTCAGTATCAAGCCTTGAATGGCTGTGGCTTTCTCCCGAATAAACGGTACTGTAAGGATGCTGTGGGAGGAAGAAACAGTGTTAGTGCTGGCGAAATTTTCATGCCTAGTAACATCTGTCTCTGCCACTCCACAAATGCCAAGGAAGCGCCTAAGAAAAAGCAATTTTTCAGTGTAATTTGCAGACAAATTTGAAGAGATAATTGTCAAAACAGAATCCTAATGGGTATGTTCCTAGCAGACTGTGTGGGTGTGAGAGGTAAGTAGTATTTCCTACATTCAGTACAACAAAATGACCCTGTTAATACGTACTGTTGCAGATCCAGATGAACTGGTCCAACTCAACCCTGAATTTGTACAGAGAGCTAACTTTACTTCGCAACAGTGAGCTCCCCATTCATCGGGGGTGGATGTGCTACATCTGGAATGACAGTAATGTTTTTGTGTATGTGAGGGAATTGGATGGCTTAGACAGAGTCTTTATGATGGTTCTCAATTTTGGGCAGGAATCGACAATAGACTTGAAAGCTATAGTTCCTAACCTTCCATCTGAAGCTATTATAAGACTAAGTACTAATTTTAGCAATGCTGGTAAAGCTGTCAATACTGAACTAATTAAAACTGAAACGGGAGAAGGCCTAGTCCTCGAATATAAAACAGCAAAGCCTGTTCATACTATGGAAGCTTTTCAAGGAAAATGTTTTGTGGCAGAAAAAGCTTGTTATTCCAGTGCTTTCAATTTACTCTATGTGAATTGTTAAGTGCAGGAGTAGAGTAACCAACTTTCATGTTAATTTAGAAAATGTTGGCTTCAGGGAAATGCTGAAAATTTTCAGTTTTCTTTGGCTTTTAAAACTTTGTGTACAAAATAAAAGTCCTGAAAAATAGAACAGATACCCAATAGTTTTGCATCTGTAATGGTGATGAAAAAGTATGGTATAAACTCCCCCTTAGGGTCTGTGGAGAAGAAACATAAACTTGTCCTGTTTAAGTGTGGGTATTTTTGTGAAGAAAGGCAACAGTTGCTTTCTGGGTGCTGCCCCTTGCAGTTGCTGGTCATTAAGAGCTCCAGTGGAATCCAAAGCCTGTGGCAATTCATACTAACTTTTTGGAATTCTGTAGATTTGTAAAACTTATTCTAAAGGGGTGTCCCTATATTTGTTAAAATAGGTAAAAGCAAGCAAGACTAATATATTAAGTTGTGATGGCTTACCTCTTCTCTCAACTCTTAACAGCTCTGATTATTCTCAAAGATAGTAAGAAAAAGAACAAAATATAGCTAGTATGTCTAATTCTACACTCAAGACTGCATTGCCAATTGATTCCTCCCCCTCCCCTGCTGCTGAGTCAGAATACATTTGCATTTGCGTTCTCTTCTTTCTTTTTCTACCCTAAGGTTGAGGTGAGGTGTGCATACGTTAGTTCAGAGTAAGTGAAACAACTCTACTGAATGTCATACTTGCTCATGTTTTGTTTTGTATTTGGGGCACCTACAGTGGTTTATGTGATACAAAGGAAGGATAAGCATTTGACTTGGTGCAGTCTGTTTTGGACACGGGGGTGATCTGGGGAACTCTGTTTTGGATTGAGGACCTTATGGCCCATAGTGTATTCTCCACCAACTGCTTGTACCAGTTGCTGTTTCTAGGTGTGCACCATGCATCTATCTTGACAAGCAACGTGTAACAGTTTTGTGCCTTGCTCAGACGTCAGCTAAGCTATGCATCAGGCTACTTTAGTGGGGGTGTTGTTTTTGTTTTACCCTCTGGAGAGACTTGTGGCATCTCCTTCTGGGGCATTTGTCTTGTCTTCTGGAGGGACTTTGGCACCTCCTTTTTAAGATTACCATGCTAGTTAAGGTAACTGCAAGATTTTGAAACTACTCAGATGCAAGAGCTCTGCTAAAATTCCTGTTCTTGAGAGTCCAATTCCTTTGCAGCTTGTTCGATCCCACCATAGGATCAGTACACTATGGCTGCTGTGTCGCTAGGAAGGGCAGTAGTCATCATCTATGTATGGGAATTAGTTTTAGAAGACCCTAGTGAGACCTTTAAATCAAATACTTCTTTGGGAGTTTTACTGCCTCGTGTAAAACGTGGTCTCGGAAGAGAGGTCTTAGACTGGAAAGGCTGCCTGTACAAAGTGCATGTACTTCACATGTTAGGCTTTACGCACCAACTATTGTGCTTCCGTTCCACTTGTATAGTGCTGCGCTGATGGCTTGTGTGAACAGAACTGTACTGAACAACTTGATTAATGCAGGTGGCTACTTCTGTACTATCTGGCAGGGGAGAAATTCAGCTCTTAGTTTGTATGTTTATAAGCCAGTTCCACACCCAACTTTGAATTTCTTGTCTGCTTATGCCTATAAAGCAGGGATCCAAGAGGAGAGATCCTCTGGAGGTGTCCACTTCTCACATAAATAAAAATCTGACTTGAAGTTCTTCAGATGGTCAATGTGTTTATTAGCTATTTGCCAGATTTCATATGATGTTGGAGATGGCATACTTCCTCAAGTTCTTTGTTCAGAAAAGCAAGGTGTCTTGCAACCTAAAATAATGAAAATATTTTATTACAAAATAGAAAAATTATTTGCACTATAAACCTTCAGGTTCTTGCACAGCTCTTCTGATCTTCTTGCTTTCACATACTAATGCCAAGCAGTACCTTGCCCTAAGACAGAATGAGGCTTTTCCTGAAAAAATTAATTTTGGGAATAACTGCCACAACAACAAAATAACATTTGCTAGGATTTGTTAGAATTAACAGTAATAAAATTCGTATCCAACTGTGATAGTCTGAGATGTCAGTAACAATATGGCAGGTCTTGGCAGTATGTTGCTTTTAGCCAGGCATGTTTGTACAAAGTGCAAAATGTTGCAACCTAATTGTAGTAGCATCCTTTGGTGGTACAGATCATGCATTTCAAAATGTAAAGATCAAACCCATCATCAGTCTGCGGCGAGGCCAGCAGAGGCAACAGTAAGGGGGCGGCTGAGCGCTAGATGGGGGCGGCCCGGGAGGGGCCCGAGGCGCGGGAGCCCCGGGGCAGAGCGGAGGGGCCGGCCAGAGCCGGCGGCTCTCGCGAGAGAGACTGACGCGGCGCGGCCGTTGCCAGGGGCAACCGCGGGAGATTTGAACGGCCCCGAGGAGCGGCGGCGATCCGGAGCGCGGCAACGGGGCGGGCAAAGAGGGCGGGGCGCGGCCCCCCCTCTTCCTCTTCCCAGCTCGAGAAGGCTCCTCAAGCGGTGGGCGTCGGCCCGGAGGCAGACCCAGCTGTGGTTGCTGCCACTCGGGTGGAAGCCATCGCTAGGAGAAATGTGGCGACGCAGACAGAGGTGCCGCGTAAACGTGCAGCCGTCCGGGTCTCCGGCTGCAGGGAGTGCCTGAGTCTATCACTGGTGCCGGAGGGCAGCGGGGACACCTCCCGTGTGAGGTGTGACCAGGTGGATGATCTGCTCAGCCTGGTGGTAGAGCTGAAGGAGGAAGTGGAAAGGTTGAGGAGTACCAGGGAGTCTGAGAGGGAGGGAAGATAGATTGGTGGACCGCACCCTACCATCCCTGAGGCAGAGGCAGCAGATGGAGGCTCTGCAAGAAGCAGAGGTTCCCCTGCCCTCTTGCCACCAGGCAGGAGGGGACCTACGAGATGGAGGGGAATGGATACGGGTCCCTGCTCGGGGAGGCAGGTGAATCCCCTCCCGGTCTCCCTCACCTTCCCAGTTGCCCCTACACAACAGGTATGGGGCTCTGGAACTTGAGGACCGGGTCAATGAAGATCAGGGTGTAGATGAAGCCCTACCCAGGGGGGTGCCTAGGCTCAGTCGGGCAGCCCCACGCATTCTCACATCCTCTGAAAAAAGAAAAAGGAGGGTAATTGTCATAGGAGACTCCCTTTTGAGGGGGACAGAGGGCCCAATATGCAGACCTGACCATCCCACAGGGAAGTCTGCTGCCTCCCTGGGGCCCGGGTAAAAGACATTACCAGGAAACTCCCTGGTCTGGTTCGGACCTCTGATTATTACCCATTGCTGGTTGTGCAGGTTGGCAGCGATGAGATTGCAGAGAGAAATCCAAAGGCAATCAAAAGGGACTTCAGGGCACTGGGGCGATTTGTGGAAGGATCGGGAACACAGGTAGTGTTTTCCTCAATCCTTTCAGTGGCAGGGAAATACACTGAAAGGAACGGGAAAACACACCTGGTTAATACGTGGCTCAGAGGCTGGTGCCATCAGTGGCATTTGGGGTTTTTTTGATCATGGGGAGGTTTACACGGCACCGGGCTTGCTGTCAACAGATGGAGTCCAGCTGTCTCAAAGGGGGAAAAGGATTCTTGCTCATGAGATGGCAGGGCTCATAGAGAGGGCTTTAAACTAGGTTTGAAGGGGGAAGGAGATAAAATTAGGCGCAACAGAGATGAGCCTGGGGGCAGCATGCCAATGCTGGGGGTGGAATCGATAGCCCAGCTCAAGTGCATCTGTGCCAATGCACGCAGCATGGGCAATAAACAGGGGGAGCTGGAAGCCATTGTGCAGCAGGATAGATATGACTTAGTTGCCATCACAGAAACATGGTGTGATGACTCCCATGACTGGAGTGCTGCAATGGATGGCTACAAGCTCTTCAGAAGGGATAGACAAAGTAGAAGAGGTGGTGGTGTGGCTCTCTATGTTAGGGAATGTTTTGACTGTACAGAGCTACACGATTCTGATGACAAGGTGGGGTGCTTACGGGTGACGATGAGAGGGAAGGCCAACAAGGCAGATATTGTGCTGGGAGTCTGTTATAGACCGCCCAACCAGGATGAAGAGACGGATGAATCATTCTATAAGTGGTTGGCAGTAGTCTCGGAATTGAGTGGCCTTGTCCTTGTGGGGGACTTTAACTTTCCAGACATCTGCTGGAAATACAACACAGCAGTGAGTGAACAATCTAGGAGGTTCCTGGAGTGTGTGGAAGATAACTTCCTGACACAGCTGGTAGGTGAGCCTACCAGGGGAGGAGCCTTGCAAGACCTACTGTTTACAAACAGGGAAGGACTGGTGGGAGGTGTAATGGTCGGAGGCTGTCTCGGGCTTAGCAACCATGGAATGATAGAATTCTCAATTCTTGGTGAGGCAAGGAAGGCAGTTAGCAAAACCACCACTGTGGACTTCTGGAGGGCAAACTTTGGCCT